CTCCTGAGATGCCTGTGTAACGCATGATTGTTGCACGCTGATGGTCCTTGCCCTGCTCTTAAGCACCGTTGCTGCACAAAAGAAGGGCAAGGAGCCATAAAACGACAGCACAACCTGCTCCTGAGACGCCTGCGCAACAACAATGCTTATGACCAGGGCAAGGAGTCAACAACGACAGCAAAGCCTGCTCCTGAAACACGCCTGCGCAACAACAATGCAAAACACGATGCGAAACACGATGCAAAACACGCCTGCTCCTGGAACAGGCCTGCACAACAACGGTGCGGAGGAACAGGGCAAAGAGTTTACAATGAGGAGTGACAACAACCCAGGCGCCGCAAACATGCATGGGCAGGGCAAGACCAGGGCATGTTGGAACGATGACACGCATAAGAGCATGTCATCATTCCAGAATACCAGCAGAGCCATTAGGGAAAGAGCAAATGGCCTTCACTAGGAGGGTCCACGACATCAGGCTTGTATCTGAGCGCACACACATGACGGCAACATGCCAAGGAGCAATGCCAATGTCACAGGTCCTGCCGCACCTATACTTATAAAAAAGCATGCCATTGTTGAAAAGAAACAGCTTCATATAAAAAAGGTAGAGCTGCAAGAGCAGGCTAGAACCAACAAACAAATACTGGGGCTGCTTGACAAGTCTGATCAGTGGCACACTTTACCAAAAATGAGGACGGTGAAAACATGACTTGCAGCTAGGATTGCATGAGTCGATCGAGCATGACTCATGCATGCAAACAGAATTGAATTCATGTATGTGATTCATGCATGCAGTTGAGTCGGTTGAGAACGGTCTAGGCATGACTTGCAGCTGCCATTGAATGAGCTTACACACTTGCAAATTGGTGCAATATGAAAGAATTGGAAAGCGCTGAAAAGTGGTCATTCTGCATGTAGAAGCACTTTCACAGTCCCTCCAGAGCACAGGATTGCCCACCCTAAGGGGATCCATGCCTGGGTACCCCATGCCTGAGTACCAAAGCTTGGGCCCACTCCATTGACCCAATTGCAGCGCAGGGTCCTGAGGACTCTGCAGCTTATTCCCAAATGGTGCAAGAAGCTGCAAACCAGGATACAGCAGTGTGTCAGGACTGCAACCTGCAGCTCAGAGAGGCGAGGCTGAATCTTTGGTTGGGAGAGACACACATGGCACAAGCAGCAAAACAAATACCTGCTGCAGGTGTGGTCGGGGCGCTGCGTGCAGGTGCTCTGCTTTTGCTGCTGGGAGCAGGCCGGCTGGCTCGGGGGGCTGTGGCGGGAGTTGCGGCAGCAGGGGCGGCGGCAGCTTTCTTCTGTTTCTTGGGCGGCTGTGTGTATGTGGGGTCCGCATAGGCAGCAGGCGCTGCTGTGGCCGGGACGGCAGACTGCACAGGCCTGCGGTTATATCAGCCAGATGCTCATTTGATTCATTGGTCATGAGGGCTGTGATCTGACAATGGGGCTCCGGAGGTCAGGGCGCATCGCGAAGGCAGCAGGTGCTGCAGCGGCCGGAACCGCAGCCTGCACAGGCCTGCGGTTGTCTCAGTTGGATGTTCATTCTTATGAACGGGATAGCAGTCAGTGGTTTTGACTGGGACCCCCAGATGGGGGCCTTCCTTTTTTCTTGTAACCTGTAACCTGTATCAATTGGATGTTTGACACTTTGGCCGTGCAGCATGGTCCTGGACAGTGATACATCGGTCGTGAGGGTTGCGGTCTGACGTTGGGGCTCCGGAGCTTGGGGCGCATCGCATAGGCAGCAGGTGCTGTAGTGGCTGGGACTGCGGTTCTGCCAGTTGGATGTCCATTCTCATAAATGGGCTGGTAGTCAGAGATTCAGACTGGAGGCCTTCTTTTCCCCACAACCTGCAACCTGTACCAATGGGATGTGCGACACTGCGGCAGTTTCGCACAGTCCTGGACAGTGTTTTATTCATCATGATTGGGCTGGTTTGTTTTCAGGCATTTTGCTTTGCTCAGCTGCCCCCGCAGGCAGGTACAGCTTTGTGACCCTACCCTACCCTACCCTACCCTACCCTACCCTACCCTACCCTTTCCTTTCCTTTCCTTTCCTTTCCTTTCCTTTCCTTTCCTTTCCCGTCATTTTTCATGTAAGTGACCTGGCAGTGGGGCTGCAGAGGTTAGAGCTCTCGTTTGGACCCGCTTGATCGGGGTGCAACTTAAAAGAAAGTGGGGTGGCATTCTTTGTTTTCTACACATGCACACACTTGTGTGGCAAGGCGCAGATAGAGCTCTCACTTGGACCCGCTTGATCACGGTGCGGCCTGAAAGAAAATTCATTGTACATCATACAAGCACACACTTTAGGGGTAAGGCGCAGGTAGAGCTCTCATTTGGACCCGCTTGCTCACGGTGCGGCCTGAAAGAAAACGAGGTCGTTTTCATTCATTATACATCATACAAGCACACACTTTAGGGGTAAGGCGCAGATAGAGCTCTCATTTGGGCCTGCTTGACCATGGTGCGACTTGTAAGAAAAGATTGCACTCATTATATATTATGTATGCACACACTTGCGTGTTAAGGCGCAGATAGAGCTCTCATTTACACCTGCTTGACCAAGGTTTCCTCAGCATGTCACCATGCAGTTGTGTGGACCAAACCAGAGTTCGCGCCCTTGCAAAAACAGCAGCAGCTTTTATACTGACTGCAACACCTCATGCAGGTGTGGACAGTCAGAGCTTGCTCAATTTCGATGCTGCTTGCCATTGGAGCAAGGACCAGGACAAAACCTGCTGGACTTGTGATGCTGCTTGACTTCTGTGTCAGAGCTTGCTCAAATTTGGTGCTGCGCGAGCCTTGACCTTGGTGCTATCCCTACCGACCATGAATCAGCAGCGGCTTGGCTGGAGGCCAGCTTCCTTTGCAGCTCCCCTAAAAAAGGGCAACATTGCTCTACCTTATAAGGAGCCACGTTTGTGTAATGTAAGCCACATGCCCCAAATTGCTCTACCTTATAAGGAGACACGTTTGTGTAATGTAAGCCACATGCCCCAAATTGCTCTACCTTAAAAGGAGACACGTTTGTGTATTGTGAGCCACATGCCCCAAATTGCTCTACCTTATAAGGAGCCACGTTTGCGTAATGTAAGCCACATGCCCCAAATTGCTCTACCTTAAAAGGAGCCACGTTTGCGTAATGTAAGCCACATGCCCCAAATTGTACTTGTATCTGGCAATCGTCGATGCTCCTTTGTCGATGCCTGATGAAAAAAGGCACGAGGTGAAAAGTTGTGCCCAATGGAAAGCTGTGCTGAAGGCCTGCCTCCTTCGCGGCTACCCTAACGGAGGGCAACCTTCCTTTGGTCTACCTCATGAGGGGGCAACACTTGTGTAATGCAAGCCACATGCCTCCAATTCCAATGGAAAGCTGTGCTGAAGGCCTGCCTCCTTTGCGGCTACCCTAACGGAGGGCAACCTTCCTTTGGTCTACCTCATGAGGGGGCAACACTTGTGTAATGCAAGCCACATGCCTCCAATTCCAATGGAAAGCTGTGCTGAAGGCCTGCCTCCTTCGCGGCTACCCTAACGGAGGGCAACCTTCCTTTGGTCTACCTCATGAGGGGGCAACACTTGTGTAATGCAAGCCACATGCCTCCAATTCCATTTGTTTCTGGCAACTGTCGATCCTCTTCATCTCAGCCTGGTGAGAAAAGACACGAGGTGAGATGCTGTGCCCGATGGAAAGCTGTGCCGCATGAAAAACTATGCCTGATGCAAGGCAGTGCGGAACAGAGAGCTGTGGCTGATGTTACATGCCCTCCGACAATTTTTTGCTGGTACCATTAGCCTGGCAGTCATGTGTTTTGACAGATGGACCCCCCTGTGTAAACTTGATGGAGCAACAAGTGCTCCTGCAGCCCTGCCTGTATTGCAGGTGTGCGAGCATGCTGCAGGAAGCTATTGCCATGTCACATGACTCACATCTCACCTGCTACTGATTGCTGGCCGTGGTTGCTGTGCTGCAGCCCTGCCCCTGTATTGCAGGTGTGCAAGCACGCTGCAAGAGGCTAACCTCATGTTCCTTGACTCACGTCTCACCTGCTACTGATTGCTGGCCGTGGTTGCTGTGCTGCGGTCGCTTGATGTGGGGCACCTACAATTGATTTGTCGTACTGCCTGCAAGGGGAGGGCAAGCTCTCTCAGGTGGTGTTCCCTGCTATGCCCAAAGTTCAGTGTGCATGGTGTGTCTAGCAAGCAAGCAAGTGCGGAATTGGTGACTGAGCAGGAAAGGACGACGGAATACGCCTGCTAAGGCTTGTCACCTAAAGAACAACTAGGCTGATGCACGTGGCGGTTGCAGTCTTGATACGAGGTTTTGACGCGACAACAATGCTGTTGGTGCTGGCCAAGAGCACCATGATTATCATCACGCACTTGAGGAGGCAGGCTTCTGGGTCTCCGTCAGCTTGACACAGCAAGTCCTGAGGAGGCAGAACACACATGCAATATATGAAGGTCCTGTTCTGGCAAATCCTGAGGTGGAAGAACATGCATGTAATGTATGAGGATGCTGACACAGCAAGCCCTGAGGTGGGAGAACACGCATAAAACATAAGAAGGATGCTGACAAAGCAAGCCCTGAGGCAGAGCATGTATGCAACATATGCAGATGCTAACAGAGCAAGTCCTGAGGAGGCAGGAAACATAAGCAACACACTAGGATACTGACATAGCAAAACCTGAGGAGGCAGAACATGCATGCAATTGATGTGGGTTCCCAAGATAACTATCAATGGAAAGATAGCACAATTGGTAGTGTGTTGGCCTCCAAAACCAATTGGAAGAGGTTCGAATTCTCCCCTTTCTGTTTAATCTAATTCTTAATCAATGAGGATTACATTTGAGGATACTGACAAGGCAAGTCCTGAGGAGGCAGAACATGTATGCAACGAAGGACAATGCTACAAGAGCAAGTCCTGAGGAGGCACACCATGCATGCAACGGTTGAGGATGCTGACATAGCAAGTCCTGAGGTGGAAGAACACGCAAACGACATAGGAAAATTCCAAGTGTTAGCAAGTTCTAAGGCACATGCATGCGACACGTGGATGCATGCTGCTGAAATTACTCAAAGCAACCTTGTGAATCATGCATGCATGTGTGCAGTTCTGTGCGGCATGCCATTGTATGCAGTTCGTGAACGCATGTGAGCATGTGCTGCATGCTTGTGTGTGTGTGGGGGGGGACGGGGGGTTAAAACATGCACATGCAAGCATGTGCATGTTTTAACGCGCATGTGTGCATTTTTTCAGGCTTGACACCTATTTGTATGGGCATGTATGCATGTGTGCGTGTGCGTGTGYGTGTGTGTGTGTGTGTGTGTGTGTGTGTGTGTGTGTGTGTGTGTGTGTGTGTGTGTGACACATGCACATGCATTTGTGCTTATTTGCAGGCTCGCGGGTGTGCATATACAGGCATATGT